AAAAAGACTATGATGAGTATTTGACAATATTCGAAACAGCTATATAGTCAGCCTAAAAATCAATTAATTAAAAATGAAGTAGTAAAATAATTAAATAATTTAAGAATACTCTTCGCTGAAGAAAAAGTCAAATAAAGTTCAAAACATATATGTTTTATGAAAGGATTCGAATAGCACAGAAAAGGCAAGCACAAAAACTTAGTTAATTTATAGAAATTTGTTGGTTTTATGTTTTTTTTATTTTAATTTTTAAAATATTTGTTTTGGTTATTTACTAAAATAAATAAAATAAATTAAAAAAATTTTGTTTTTATTATTTACTACCTATCTATTAAAAATATAGTTTCTAATAAGAATGTAGTTTCTAATGAGAATGTAGTTTCTAATAAGAATATAGTTTCTAATAAGAATATGGTTTATATTTCTATATGGTTACATATATTTTTTTTTTGTTATTTACTATTGCTCAAACCTATTAAAAATATAGTTTCTAATAAGAATCTAATTTATATTTATATATGATTATATATAGTTTTTATATTGATTTCAAAATCAAAAAAAAAAATTAAAAATAATTTATTGCTTTAAATTTATTTCAATCCACAAATACTTCTAATCACTTAAATGGCTTAATGATTTGACATTTGTGCCTATTTTTCTGACAAATTTGTGTAGATTTCTTTTTTTTTTTTAATAAAAAATCCACTTACCTTTCTAATTGCACATCAATCAAATAACAAATATTTCCTCACGATTTTCAGCTCGAAATGCAGTCAATTTAATTTTATGACTCTGAGTTTAATTCGAAAACACTGCTTTCGTTTCAATAACGTTCACAATTCTATATTTAAAATTTAAAAAAAAATTATTTTTCAACTAAATTATTCAAATTATTTATTTTTGAGTAATTTGAAATATTTTAGGATTTTATTCGAAAAATATTGACCCGCTGACAAATGCACAAATATTTTTCAAGATTCACTACAGAATTTTCTTAGTTTCAGTTTTAAGCTAAAACTATGCGAAATTTTAATCAAACCCGTAATGTAACGTAACGTCACGTTTAAGTTTAAGGATATTAAATTTTCGAGCACAATTTCAATCTAAATCATGTCACAGGAGCAACGACAAAGAACGCCAGCAACGACAAGATCCGTCAACCTTGTATTCGGAGTTGGAGTTGGAGAGGAGACGCAGTGTTGTTGGCTGCTGAAGACTTCGTTGCACATTCTAAGTTATTTGGCAAATTCTAGAGAAATGCCTTAAGAATGAAATTTACACGTTACCGACTTTAAAGTACACAAACACTAATGTAACGTACTTTCTCTACGCGTTTGGGTTGTTGTTTTTTTTGTTTTTTTTTTGTTGATAATTTTCTTCTTTTTGTTGTTCTTTTTGCAATGTAACAATGTAACGAGTAAATGCGAAAATTCAATTTAATGTTTTGTTGTTTTTGGAACACGTTTCCTTCTGTTAGGAATTTTCCTTCTGTTAGGAAGCACAGTAAATAGAACACGAATTTTTAAATTAACATTTTTTTTCTTTGCAGTACACGCTTCACTTTAGTTTTAATTTTAATTTAATAATAATAATTCTTAATTTTTGATAATTGAATATTTTTTAAAATTTATAAATAAATTAAATTATTTTTTTTTTAATGTTTACCGTAACACGAAAAAAAAAATTTTTATATCTTTACGTTTGTTTTTCCAAAAGAATTTTCTTTAAATATTCACAATTTTCCTTCCGTGCGCGTCAAAATCTCGCTAACACAGCTCCAACATGAATGAGCGACGTAAAGTGTTCGTGCAAAAAAATTCCAACGATTTTCTATGTCAAAAATACTGCAACAACAACAACAACGCCGCACATACAATACAAAAGCTAAATAAGTTCACGAGCAAAATAAATTCCAACCAAAATGTCTGAAAGACAAAAACAACAAAAAACAAAAACAGCAACAACAACAAGTGTAAAACGTTTTACGATGATCGAACGAACGTACGAACCAACGAACTCAAAGGACTACGTGCAGCATACAACACAACTGACGTTCGTACTAAGAAACACGAGAATACGAATACTTAACTACACCGAACCACCGAACAATCGAACGAACGAATGGTTTGTCAGTTACGAAAACAAAAACAAAAACAAAAACAATCTCAATTTGCCAAAGCAGATAATCTCTCACACTACAAATATGTGTGTACGAGTATCATTTAATATGACGTCGTCGCCGGTCCAAGTGTCCTCAATTTTACAGTTATCGCAACAGGATGTTGTATATGTTAAAGTAAGCCATAAATGCAATCACTTCAAACAACATCAAACCACTTCAAACCAAGCAACACGTTCGTCTATAAGATGTGCCTGCGTGTTCGTATGATATTAGCCTTTAATATGTGACGTTATATTTTATAAAATTTATCCTCACACAATGCGCACAAATATAACCTCTCAACATAAAGTATTCAGTTGGACTGAATCCAAATACGAATTTACAATAACACGAAACCAACCAGTCGTTGAATCAACAGTTTAAAAGTATGCACGAACAGTAAGCATAGACAGCATTGACCTACCACCACCCACCCTTATTGCGGTATGACTCTGTTCGTTCTTCTTCTTACTGTGTCATTTGCTGATTTTCGTTCAATGTTTAGTTTTGCTTGTGTGTTCTGTGCCAACTTGTTCTGCCTCCCCTCTCGTGATGGTGAGTTTTGCAAATAAATTTTGTTGTTGTCATAAGAGCACAATATGATATTCTTCCCCATTGAAATTACCTTAACGGGGATCATTAGTACTAAAAAAAATACTAAATAGCATCAGGGGTTTGTAGGTATATTTTGTGCATTTATTTCAGACAATTTTTAAGGAGCTTATGTTTTGGGAAATTTTCAGTTAATATAGGCCAACAAAATATAAGAGTATGAGAAATAAACTAAGAGAATTTTGGTTAAAATTTTAATAAATTAAGAGAATTATAAATAAAATACATAAAACAAATTCTTTAATATAAAAAAAATTCAAATTATTTTAAGTTTAAATATTTTTAATAATGAAAGCATTTTAATTATTTTATAAATAAATAAATAAAAAATAAATTACAATTATTTAGTTAAGAGAATTATGATTAAAATGAAAATAATTTAAAGGATATACGGTTAAAATATTATATGTATCAGAATATACGTCCACATTACTTTTTAAAGAGTAAGATTTTTTTAAGATAAAACGATTTTAATAGTAAAATTATTTTAATTACTTTATAAAATTAAGTGTTTTAAATAAAAAATAAACTATAATAGTTTAGTTAAAAGAATTATGATTGAAAGGAAAATAATTTATGGCTAATAATAATATATATGGTAATACGGTATATATGGTAATATATATGGTAATATATGGTAATAATAATAAAATATGTTTAAAATATGTTATATAGAAGAATATACGTCCATATTCAACTTATTGTTATAATTGTTATAATAAAATGAAGGATAGAAACAGTTTTTAAAAATTGAGCTAAGAATGTGCAAAAATTATTACGCCTTCGTCTGATAAGAAATGTCCACAGAATTTGCCAAGGCAAATAATGTAGTTATGTTACATATCAATTATTATTTTATTTCAATTGAATATTATCTCATTGACCCACTCGTTATTCGACCGTTATGGGCACCATCACCGATGCGGTTTGGAGTATCACTGGAAGTAGGTGACTTTCACTTACGACACCCGACTGGAGGTGTAATTTCATTCGATGTGGAGTTGCATTTTCCAACCGAGTGCTGTGACCCGAAGATCAGCAGAGGAGTTAAATAGGCCTCATTCCTCATGAAAGAGGAAGTTATGACTAAACACGTCACTTCAACTGGTATCGACGAAATTCGTCAAAGTTCCAATGAGCCATTCATCGGCGCAATATACCGGTGTATGTGTGTGAAGAACATAGTAAGCTTTCACGGCAGGTATTTATGTAAAATTCTGGACCTTCATGACCCACTATTTATTATGAAATATTTTTTGGCAATTTTAGAATAAGGCTAGAAGACTTCTAGTATTCAACCGCTAATAGTGGGTTAGTACTGGGGTGTTAGCAGCTTCCTATATCCTAACATCATTTTATATAAAAACACGAACTTAAGTATTTAATAGGAAATTCTATACACATCTTTTATAGATGTGTATGCGTAACAAAATGGATTATCATTTCAGCCTTAAAACCGAAATTTATGAAAAATGTTTTAAATTCTCTGTTTGTACGTCAATAAGCAATATAGTAATCAAATCGCCAAATACTTTCCTTTGGGTTTTAAATTAAGAGCCATTAAAAAATTGAATTAAAAATGGTTCAAAATTAAAACAATAAAAAAATTATTTTTTTTTTTAGAAAAAATTTAAATCAAATAAAAAGGAATTATGATTACTTAACAAAGGCAAAAGCAAATTTTTCTTTTTTATTTTTGTTTTATCTTTATTTATTTTTTTTTTTTTGTTTTATTCTGAACATTTTAAAAAATGTTAAACAATATTATTTTATGCAAATTTAAAAATGACCCAAAAACGATTTTAAAAACTCTGAAAAACAACTCAATAAAAACTATAAAATGCCACATAAATAAAAAAAAGCACTGCAAAGCAATGAAAGAAATTAAAGGAAAAAAATGCGAATAAATAAAATGCCGGGAATACCAATTTAATTCTTCAAATAAACCACAGAACACATAAAAAGTTCTTAATATTAGTTAAAATTGAAAAACACGCCCATAAAATTACCACACAAAATCAAAGAGCAAAACAAAACAATAAAAAAAATTAAAACGAAGAACAATAATGACACAATCAGAAACCGCAAATGTCAAAATAAATTATCAATAAATTTACACTCAAGAAAATGAGGATAAAGGCATTAAGAAACATGGACGAGGGGCACTCTAACAGCAACAACAACATTAATGAAAATAGCTTTATCTCAAAGAATAATAAAGTCATTTTTATTTGCATACTGCCGGTTTGATGAACCTCTCGTGGTACACTACTTTACCACACATTACTATTTTACTACCGTTTACTACTTTCCCACCCATTACTACTTTACCACCGATTACTACTTTACCACCGATTACTACTCTACCACCGATTTCTACTTTACCACCGATTACTACTTTACCACCGATTACCACTTTACCACCGATTACTACTTTACCACCCATAACTACTTTACCACCGATTACTACTTTTCCACCGATTACTACTTTACTGCCGATTACTACTTTACCCCCGATTACTACTTTACTACCGATTACTACTTTAGTAACGATTACTACTTTACTACCGCTTACTATTTTACTCCCGATTACTACTTTACTAACAATAACTACTTTACTACTGATTACTTTTTTACTACCGATTATTACTTTATTATCGATTACTATTTTACCACCGATTACTACTTTACTACCGATTACCATTTTAGCACCCATTACTACATTACCACCGGTTATTACTTTACTACCGATTACTACTTTACTACTTAAAAAACGATTGCTCCAGTCCAATACTATACGACCAATACTACTTTATAATTATTGGCGACATATATCTTTATGAAAATAGAAATAAGGCTTCCAAAACCGAAGCCGAAACCGAAACCGAAGCACATTCGTAAGCGTTTCGCTTTGAAAAAGCTTTAAAAAAAAATGTTTAAAAAGGTATTATTATTCCGCCTAATATTAGGATGTTTTATAGAGATAATGAAACTGAAGCCTAAATTGAAACCGAAGCATATTCCAAGGCAATAACTTTAAAAAGTATTATTAGTCAGCAGAATACTGAGGTGTATTCAAAAATTACTATCACTCAGCTATCAGTCCCCTCTAGTTATACAATTTAAAATCTTGACTCTGGACAGCGCTTTAAAAAGCTGGATAATCCAGTAAAATCAAGCACATCTGGCTTTAGATCCATTCTTAGTACATTGCACTAAGAGTGATCGTTTGTTTAATGAACAGGTAAATAATTAGTATCTAGAGTATTAGTTGAGCAAGATAGTAGATCTTACAAACACTAATTTATACAATATTCTGGAACTCATATGAATTAATACTAATGCATTAATATATGTATAGGTATTATAATCTTTTGTATAATATGTAATATATATATCTAATATATAATATATATATATAATATATGATTTAAAGAGAAACTTAGTCCTACTCAGGTGTATAATCACAGAACCACTATTAGTTATTACGACAAGAAGTCATTAGGAGCAGCAAGCCATAGGGTGTATTTATCCCTTCATTAGTTTTTTCCGCGATATAATGAGATCGTTATACATTTTATCATAATTTTAGAGGTTGCCACCTATAATATGCTCCATTCGTTGCTACTATTACGGATATGTGAAACAACATTCATCATGGTGAGATCTTCGCTTATGGTGATCTACCTACTTTTCTATTTGTTTTTTCTTTTCTATATTTTTTTAACATACTTTTTGTTGGATCTCTTTTCCAAATAGTAGTATGCGAAAGAGTGTCATCCATCTCACTTAGATAGACGTTTCAGAATACTTTATCTTTATGTTAAAAACGCTACATATGCTGTTTAAAACAGCAATTTCCATTTAGTAATACTGATATTTAGAAATAAATTTTTCAAATAGACATCTACACTAAATCCACACTAAATCAGAGTTCCATTTTTCTTTGTTAAATGCTTCCCTCATCTTTGTCTGTGTTCTATAATGCTCCATAGACGCTGTTCTATGCTACTCCTTTGAAACTGTTCTCCTTTCTTTCAACTTCAATGTACTCTCATCCATATTATATGTGAGTTACAGTGTACACAGCAGAATATCTATCGGGTCTATTGTTAGAATTACAGTGATTGTATCAAACGATACTCTTCGATAGGTGCTTTACTACCCGAACGATTTCCTATTCAAATATTTTTCTTACAATTGTTTATATTAGTTCATCCTCACATTACCATAGAAAACGATGAAACCTTTTGTCTACTGTAGCTAATTTTGCTGACAGAATGGAAAGCCGTCGCGTCCATCTCTTGAACCCAAAACATAACAAGTGACTGCAGCTGTTTTCCCGTTGTTTGTGGTTGTACAAAACAATATCCGTTTATTGTATGGCCATTCATCCAATCGCTCATCCGTTGGCTTTTCCCTCCAATTTCTTTCAAATTTTTTTTTTCTGCTTTTGTTTTTTGATTTTTAATTTTTATCATTTTGTTGTCCATTGAGAGAAACAATTGCAAATTATAAAACAACAGACGCGAAGAAAATATTTTTAAAATCTTCATAAATATTCATTATCAGCGGGAATAGTGAAGAAGGAGGATATTGGGCATAAAAACTAAAATGAGTAGAAAAAATCTCATGGAATAACATCACAATAAAATAAAAGGAGGAAAAATAAGAACTGCGAGGAGTACAACAGTGTTAACTGTGAAATCTGCGGTTTAAATTTTGCTTCTGGCAACAAAAATGTCATCAAAAACAACAAAATAAAAAATTTATTTTACTTAACAATAATAACAGAAGGCAGCAGGCATGAGGTATGAGGCAGGAGGAAAAAAATTGAATTTCAACAGCGATAACAACAATTTCATGTACCACAAACTGTGCTCCATGATTTACGACTAGATTCCATATAAATGTATATCCTTTATATCCTCATTTTAGGCTCTTTTAAGTATTGACGTTACTGAGAGTAATAACATTTTTAATTCAATTCTGTTATTAATAATTTTCTTTTATTATCTTTTAAATAAATTTATTTATTATAGACAGTCACAGGACAAATGATCTATAAAGATCAAGATATGAAAATTTTAAAAGGAATAAAAAACAAAAATAAATATAAATGATTTTACATAAACTTATATATGATATAATAAGTACTCAATATTTTTTGTTGAGGAACTGAGAAGGATATTTAAGAAAAACGTTGGTACAAACTGTATACCATCAATTTCTTCGCAGGTATCTAATACTAGAAGTCTCAATCTTATCCAGGAATGTTATTTACTATTGTTGTGTTAAATGCGAAAAAAATGTGTACTGTAACATCATTAATATAACTTATGTTTTAAAGTCTTTTATAAAAACTCTTCAAGAATATAATTATTAATACATAAGCATTATAATAGTGCCTTCCTAATTATTTGGGTATAACTACAGTCAATCTTCCATAAATCGAACTTTTATAAGTCAAATTTTCTATAACTTGAACTAAATAGAGTAGAACAGGGTTTACAGAACAAATTTTTTACAATTGTAAAAAAATTCTTTAACTCGAAGTCTCCATAAGTCGAGCCTTTTCTTTTCGAGTTATGGAAGTTTGACTATATACACATCCCTCCAAAGCAACTGGATTCTTCAAAAATAACTTCAATCATTCCCAACAGAGAGCTAAATTGTATTTTTACGCAGTAATTTCGATTGGTGCTCTTTCAAGTATGAAAAGTAGTGGAAATAGTATGGATGCGATTAATTAAATTTCACCTTGGTCCAGATCGAAAAATTTTGCCATATTAATAGAACGGAGCAATAAATCGATAAGACTCTAATTGGTGCATCTGTCAAAACAGGAATCCACTTTATGGAGGGTAAAGCATCTGTTGGCTTAAACGTCTTTCATATGATCTGGCGTGAGCTCTTTATGTTAATATATTTATATAGACCTTAAAGGACCTTTTAAGAATATATATAGGTATATAAATGAGATTCGGCAAGTTTTATTTAGTATATAGTCCATTTAGTGAATCAGATTACTTATGTCCTCGCTTATACTTCGATAATAACTTTGCCACTCCTTCACTCCTTTGAACTCCTTCAAGAGCGGAACGTAAAGCAGAGCTACTTACAACTCTAGAAAAGATAGCGATCTAAACCGACGTGTCTAAGTTGGATGAAGTCATTGGAGGCGGAATCTTTTTCACGGACCTAGGGATAAGTAAATCCTACCAACTCTTCAAAGCATATTGTCTTGAATGTGAACATGAACTTTCACGAAAAAGAAATTTATATTCTTACTGCCAGTCAGGCAGCTATTAAAAATGTATCAGCAGTCTGCATTACATCTAGATTAGTAAAAAAAATGTAGGCAATTTATTAACGCACTAAGCAAGACATTCAAGTTAACTCTAGTTTGGGTTCTCGAGCATTCTAATATAATAGGAAATTAATAATAGGAAATGAGCTTACTAAACTAAACGCCTCATCTATGGTACGTATACGTATCTCTTCTACGTTGATTTCTAAACACTTTTTATGATAGGCAATTAGTAAGTGGACTCATACTGCCTCAGCAAACAGGTCAACGGTTGGGATTTGGATTATTCCACATGTAGAACCTATGACTTGATATATGGCAAATCTAAACTTGTATCTATATCTTGATTATACTAGTACCCAACATCTAAGTTAATATCTATCTTTACATGGCACAGAACCATAGTACAGTATGGGGCTAAGCCCGGCATACTCTATAGTGACATAAGCAGATCAGTTGTGTCTTTGTCCAGTTTTGTTCAAAAAAAAGCTTAAGTTTTTGGGGACCCACTTCTTAAACACACTCGGCGCTACCTCCAACATCAACATTGGCCAGATTTTCACCTTTATAAACGCCTGATACTAGCTTAATCATAGCTTAATCAATGTGCTCAACTCGTTTAAAATTAATTGAAAGTATTTAACTTCAATTTTAAAGTGTGGCCTTTTGCTTCTCATAAGGATTTATGGGAGGTAATATATATAACATATTTAACATATATTTACCGAAAGTGCCTCAACCACTTAACTGTTGTATATCTTCCCTACGTCTTGGAGTATTAACTGAAATATTCTTTGCGAAATATTCATTAATTTTATTATCTATCTTTTAGAAGACAATTAACACAAGCAAAGCTCAATAGCACTGAAATATTCATGTTATTAATAATTTCGAGTGTGGAAAACGTTCAATGAGTATTGTTTGTAAGTAATCCTTACTAATAATAATCCTAAACTAAGCTGGATGCACTTTAGTAAAAACTTTTTCTGAAACAAAACCAAAAAAAAAGCAATATAAAAGCAGCGTGAACAGCATGTAAGCACATGAGTCCGTAGGAATATCCTTAAAGGATTTTTATTGCTTTTCCATTTTGGTTCTTATGTTGTTTTTTTGCTACTTTTTTTTTTCATTTTTATGCAGTTTTGCTGTTTTTTATTGCATACTTCACGGCATGCATGAGAGTCTTTCATCTTTTGCGCTCGTATCGACAAAATTTACTTATAAGCTTATTTTCTCTAATAACACTGCATATGAATATTTTAATTAAAAATTCTATTCCATATATAAGAACGACAGAAATTTACAAAAATAAAATAAATATATATGTATTACATATATACCTATATATATGTAAATGTATGTGTATATATATAATAAAATATAATAGCATATATAAAAATATTTTT